TTATCTTTCCTCTTCCCCCCATTTCAAAACCCACCCCTCTTTTGAATTTTCCTGTTTCTGCTAAAGACACAATCATTTTTCCAGTCTGTTGTGTTTGTAACTTTGGTATTATCCTTGACTTTCCACACCCCACATATCTGATCAGTTACCAAATCTTGCCATGTTTGTGATCATAACCTATCTTGCCATCTGGTCTCTTCTCTTCATACATCCACCATCTTAGTGAAGGCCCTCATTAAGATTAATTGGTTTCCTTGTCTCAAATCTACCCTGCATTCCATTCTCCCTACCGTTGTCAAAATAACTTTAACATTCAGATCTGACCCTGTCACTTCCCTGCTTGATAAACTTCAGTGACTTTATAGCCTTGAGATCAAATATAAATTCTGCAGTTTGGCTTGTGAATCCCTTCACAACTTGGCTCCAACCTCTCTTTCTGGTCTCATTGCCACATTATTTCTTTTTATAGATGCTATGATCCAGCCATACTGGCCTTTTTTCTGTTCTTCCCACATGCCAGCCCCATGCATCTGAACTAGCTCCCCCCACCCCTGGTTTGTAATTCACTCCTTCCTCATTTCTGCCTTACAGAATATAAGATCCTTCTCTTCCTTTGAGACACAGCTCAAGCCCCACCATTTTCATGAAATCCTTTCCTGATTCTTTCAGCTATGAGTGCCTTTCCTGCTAGATGGTACTCGCTGAACTGGACCAGGGATTTGGTTAGTTTAAGAAAGTTCCAGGTGAAGAAACTCCCTCTGCTAGTGCAAATTGGCACCTTCTCTGCAGCGTAGAACCTTAGAGAGTTTCCTAAGGCACTGTTATTTGTCCAGGGTCACACAGCTAAAGGTGGCGTTTGACCTCAGTCAAGTCTTCCTGCTAAAAAGCGGAGATATCACCTTGCCATAAAAGTCCTCACAGTCAAAGCTATGGTTTTCCCAGTAGCAGTGGTATGGCTGTGAGGGCTGGACTATACAGAAAGCTGAGTGCCACCTGAATCAACGTTTATGAATTGTGGTGTTGGAGAAGATTTTTCAAAGTCTCTTGGAAAGCATCAAATCAGTCAATACTTAAAGAAATTAATTCAGACTACTTATTGAAAGGACAAATACTGAAGCTGAAGCTTAAATTCTTTGACCACTTAAAGAGAAGAAAGGACTAGTTGGAAAAGACTGATATTGGGAAAGATAGAAGACAAAAGGAGAAGGGGACATCAGAGGAGAGATACAAAAATACTGTCATGGAAGCGGGAGCTTGGACAGACTTTGGGAGATAATAGAGGATAGAAGGCCTGGTGGTGCTTTGGTCAGGATTCAGATACGACTAAATGAACAACAAAAGATCTTCCTGGCTTCATTTGAAGCTGCCTCTAGCCCCCATGCCATGCAACCCTTCCTCCTCCCCAAGCTACCTTATATTTATTTATATGTATTCTGTATATACTTATATTTGTACTTGTTTTTCCCTAGGAAAGATTGTAAGCTCTCTTAGAGTAGGGATTTTTTTATACTTTGTATTTTTATCCCATCCCCCTAGAACAGTGTCTGGCACAAAATAAGTGCTTAATAAGTACTTGTTTATTAATTCATTCCTATCTATCTTTGAAGTACCCTACTAAAATGTCATCTCTTCTAGGAAGCCTTCTCTGACCTCTCCCATCCTCCCAGGTTAGTAATAACTCTTCACCCACATAGCACATGGGATTTTACTTGTCAACTTTATTATGTATGTGAGATGTATACTTTTGTACTGTAGTCATTTATTGCAAAGGCAGAGTGGCATAGCAGGCAGAGACTTGTGTTTGGAGTCCTGAAAACCTATTTACAAATCCTACTTATGATACTTTTTAGCTGTGTGACCATGGAGATTTGCTCTTTGTTATTTCTAGCTTTTTTTTTTTAAGTTGTCAGACTGTTAAAGTTTCAGTCGTGTGTGTGTGTGTGTGATTGTTTCGGTTATGTTTAAAAACCAATTGATGGTGGGTCTTGCTGACCTGAACTAACAGTGTCTTGCTGCATTCCTCATACAGTTTGAACCACTGGTTTGAAAGGGTTTTTTCTTTGTATTTTTTAAGAACTCCTTCTTTTTTGGAGATAAGAATGTATGAAGCGAAGGGACAAGTAGAGATTCTTTAGAATGATAAGAGCTAAAAGTGAATAATTAGATTCTTTTCTCTTCTACAGGAATAAAATCTAAAAGTGACTTTTGATAGAAGCCTAGGTTAGTAGATGATTAAATAGCCTTTTATGTCACCCATATTTTTGTGTATAATTTCATTGTACTTAAATGAGTATTGCCTTTTGAAATTGTGTTTAGCCAGTAGACTGCTAGTGCTAATTGCTCTGCTTCATGTTTGCGAGGAAATTATGCTTCTTGTAGCAGTTCTCAGTGTTTTAGCATTTTTCTCCTTGAAAAGGGTAGAGATTACTTAAATGAACATAATAGTATGAGCAATTAATTTTCATTTTATTAATTCACTTATTGGCTTTTTCTTAACTATGGGGGAATCAGTGAGAATATCACATTCCCTCAGGATGGTACATTTACCTATCTTTGAAAGTGATGATATGTTTGTGATAGGATAGTTTTCTTATCAAAGATGATGTTGATTTGTTTAGGAGTCCCAAATATCCTCTTTTGGTTATTGTATTTCCTTAGGTGAAATTTAAAAATTATTCAAGCAGGGAGGAATTATTAACATACTGGGTAACAGAATCAAGGGTCAGAAAGATCTAGTTAGCCTAGGATGGTCCACAACTAACAAGAAGATGAAATAGGTAGTTTGTGAAGGTTTTTTTTTTTTTCTCCTGAACTCAGTAGTTGGCTTGAGCAAAGTACATGCAGTAGTTACTGCCTGGAATTCTCTCTCTCTCTCTCTCTCTCTCTCTCTCTCTCTCTCTCTCTCTTTCTCTCTCTCTCTCTCTTTCTCTCCTCATCTACATTTTCTGGATTCCCTGGCTTCTTTCAAGTCTTAGCTGAAATCCTTATCTTTGGCAAGTAGTTTTTCCTGTTCCTCCTTAGGAGGAATAGTGCTTTGCCTCTGAGCTTGCCTCCCATTTACTTTCTATTTGTCTTGTTTGTACATAGTAGTTTGTATATAATTTATTGCATTCTGACTCCCCTCTTAGAATGTGAGCTTCTTAAGGGTAGGGGCTGTTTTTGCCTTTCCTAGTATCCCCAGTGCTTAGCATAGAGCCTGACACATAATAGGGGCTTAATAAATGCTTGTTGACTTGACTATGAGCAGTTCATTTGGAAAAGGTTTCAGTTATCTTCAAGTTTAGCATTAACCAGAAAAGTGATATTGCAGCCAAAAGAGCAAATGCAGTCTTGGCTGCATTGATAGAAGTATAGTATCCAGATTAAGTAAGTTAGGTCCTACTGTACTCCTTGTTGAGGTCTATATTTTATGTGCAGTATTTAAAACTTTGTGAACAAGATGGTGAAGGGTCAAGGAAATCATATGAAATTGGGGATGTATAGTCTGGGGTCAGGGGTAGATTGGAAGGAAGACTTGAAGGCATAGAGCATGCAGTTATTTTAAAAACGTTTATTTGAAGGATTGTCATGTAGAATAGGGATTCACCTTTGTGTATCTCTAGACAGCAGAACTAAGACCTATCTTGTCCCAGATACTTCTCTGTAACCTTAGAAAAGTCACTTGACCTCTCTCAGCCTCAGTTTCCTCCTCTGTGAAATGAGGATGATTTTGTTGTGATGATCAAATGAGATGTGTAAAGTACTTTGCAGCCTTTAAAGCACACATAAATACTGGCATGATGATGTTATTGATTCTATGCATATTATTCCCAGATCCTCTTCAGTGGTTTCCTGTTGCCTCTAGGATAAAATACAAAGTCCTCTGGTGTTTAAACCCTTTTGCAATCTTCTTTCCAGAATGTTTTCCTGTTACTGACTCTCATTCACCTTACCTTCCTGCCAAAGTGGCTTCCTTACTAGCTCCCACCTCCGTGCCTTTGTGCTGGCTGTCTCTCAGTCCTGAAAAGTTCTCTTTTCTCGCCTTAGTATCTTAGAATCCCTAACTCCCTTCAAGGCTTGGCTCAAATGCCACTTTCCTAGACCCCAGAGGCCTTTCCTGCTGCTCAAAGCTGTTAGTGCTCTTCCCACTGAACTTATTTTGAATATATTTTGTATGTATTTGTGTGCTTGTTTTTCTTCAGCAAACTATACGTTCTTATGGGCAGTAACTTTTCGTTTTGTCCTGGTATCCTCAGAGCTTGGCACCTAGCATGCACTAAATAAATGTTTGTTAAATTGAATTGAATCGAGTTGAATTTCAGTGCACTAGGAGGAAGAACTTTCAAACAATTTGATCAGACCAAAAATGGAATGATCGGCCTACCGAGATAATTCACGTCTTGTCCCTGGGTGAGTTCAGCCTTCCTGACTACTTCTATAAGGAAGGGCCTTTTAAATGGAACTGCTCCTTGAGGTGAGAGGTGGAACCCCTAGATGACCTGTCGGAGCTAGATGATTCCTAGGGAGGGCCATTCTAACTAACAGATTCTGTGACTCTTGTAGAGAGTGTTGGGACAGGGAGAAGAGTCCTTCCCGGGAGCACAAAGGGATCAGGCTTTTTGTTATTCAGGGCCTTGACCAATCTAGGCCTGCTTGGTATAGTTCTGAGAAAATTATGGATCGTTTAATAAGTGCTTACTGATTGAAGTCAATGGAAAAACCTAACCAAAGTGCATCAAAGTTTCTCACCTTGAAAACAGCCCTGTATACTCCTTTTTCACAGCAGTCTTGGGGTTCTTAGCTTCTATCATTTAATATAAGATTTAGTCTAACCCTAGAGAGAGTTTCAAGGTTCTGTGCCTGTTCTCACCTATATCACCTCTCTCATCTTCCTGTGCTCTTCATTTCTCTCATTCTCAGAATAATCTTACTCATTTGTATTTCTTAATAAATACTTGTTTAATAGTATCAGTGAACTTCGAGGGACCTAGTGAAATTATAATTTATTTTAATAACTACAGGTACTGGGAGGCAATTCACAAATGGGATGAAGCACTTCAGTTAACTCCAGATGATGCTACACTGTATGAGATGAAATCACAGGTAATACTTGTACTCTTAGAATTTTAAAGTGGTAACAAGTGAAGAAAGTGGGTAGTCCCAAAAATTGGATTTGAATTTGAAAAAAATTATTTTTGTGTGTAATATTGTTTAAGAAGGATGGAAAATTTAAACCTACTCTGAACCTCTTTTTAGCTGTCTCTCTCTGACAATTTCCTATATCATCTCTCAAAGAGGACACTAATACATGCCTCTAGTTAAGGTCCAGTTAATGTAATTTAATGATGTATTGCGCTTTAACTGTTTCATGATTCTTTCTGGCCTTTTTTCATTTGATCCTCCCCACAACCATGTAAAATAAGTAGTTGGGATATGATGTCCTGTGACAAATGAGGAAACTGAGACACAAGGAGAATAAATGCTTTATCTAAGGTTATATAGCTAGTTAGCTTCATAGATAATACTAAATAAAACTTGACTCCCAGTTATGTTCTTTCCAGAGGATTAGGGCAAGTTAACACTCTCAGGTGAAGTGTTAATGAGTCTAGGCAGACTCATTAGATTTTTTTTTCTTGCCCCCTTCATCCCTCTGCTCCCATCTCCTCCAAAAGGGATAATTGTTGAGAAAACTTTGTCCTTTCTGCCTCAAGAAATAAAGAACTTACTTCAGGGAAGTAAGTTCCTTGAAGTCATGCTGTCAGTGTTACTGTTACTGTCACATCAGCCTTATTAGACATCATTTGAGGCTGACGACTTTGCAGCTCTGCCTCACTCAAATCCAATTCATGCGAAAGTCAGGAATCATCCTTGTGATGTCATTGGTCCTCTTTGAGAAGAAAGAACAAACAACAACAGTGACAACAACTTGATGAAGGAATTAAGCCTTAGAAGACCTGACTTTAACTAGAAATCTGCATGAATTCCCTGTGATGCTCAATGCCTCCCTATTGTGAAACAGTTAAAAGCATGCTCCATCATAGCATGATAGCATGAGAGCATGTCTCACTGCATGCTAGGCTAGGATGACATTATCTCTTGGACTGATTTATACCACCAGCCAGGGTAGTACTTCTCTTAAGATCACTCACTGACCTTAGAATTCACAGGAAGTGGGTTATGGGAAGATTAAGTTTTTGGGTGAAAGACCTAGACTTTGCTGGTGACTAAGCCAAGGGAAGGAGAAACAGCTGCAGTATTTTATTTATTCATTTGGCAAATATTTATTGAATTTTTGCTTTATGCTTCAGACTCTCTTGCCTTCCAATTCCTAAAAGCTACTTGCATAGAAAACTTGTTAATCAAAAGTTCTGGATTATTAAGATTTGTTTTTTTCTGGATTCTCAAAGGTGGTCTGAAGTATTGCTTGGGGCTCCTTAGATGGCAGCAAAAGTTATTTACATGAGACTTTTAAATAGCCATCTGTGACCTATGTGTATTTAATTTCTCTTACACACCTTTCCCACTTTTTTTTGGATATCTTATTGAATGCATTTTAAAATTATATGATCGTATTAGCACATTACTAATCATACTGAGAATGCATGTACCCTTTCTTTTATAATAAATATAATATTGTCAAAATTTATGTGATGCCACCTGCTGGAATTCATTGTGTAACTACAGTCTTTATTTGGTAGGCTGAGGTAAACTAATGGTGTTTTCTATCTTGCTTTTTTGTTCAAAAACAGTTTTATTTGGCAGAATTGTTTTTTAATAAGTATAAACAAGAAGTTCACAGGGTGGGCAGACCTAGTTGCATTATGATATGTATTATTAGAAAGAATGCCCACATTATCAAGATTATAGTTTCATTGGGTAATTGGAGTATTCTGCTTATTAAACTTATGTAATATACATTTTCATCGTGAGTCAGGTAGGTAGTACAGTGGGTGAGAATGCTGGACATGGAGTCAGGAAGACCTGAATTCATATCCTGCCTCAGATATTTATTAGCTCTCGTGTAACCTTTTTAAGCCTCAGTTTCCTCATCTGTAAAGTGGGATAATAAAAGCTACCTCACAGGGTTGTTGTGAGGATCAGATAAGATAATGTATTACAATTTGTAAACCTTGAAGTTCTATATAGATGATGATGATTATGAACCCACACAGCATTTGTTTGGTGGGCCAAGGTGAATTATAATAGCACTTTTGCTCTTATTTTTATTATTTAAAGACAGTTTTATTTGGAAAAGAATTAAAGCACATTTCAGTTACTCATGGATTATTTTTGGAGTTGTTCTGGACCTATGATTTCATTGGTAGAGGAAGCTTCCACTACCAGAACATAGCGACACCTGCTTTTCAACTTCTGGTTTTTGAGAGTTAGTGACCTAAGGCACAGAGAGATGACAAGATTTGCCGAGCACCTGGCAGGTAGTGTGTATTACAAGTGAGACTTGAATGCAAGGGTTCCTGACTCTCTGTTTACTCTGCCACACTGCTACTTCTGGATAAAAGTAAGAATTTATTTAAATTTTCATTTAAATCAACTCTTATAAAAACTAATTGTAGTTGTCTGTGAGGCAACTAGATTTCTCTTGGCAAGGGTCATCAATGATTTTTTATTAATTTTAAACTAGGCCTCTTCTTTGGGAACTGGCTGTGCTATATTTGGCATATAGCTTCGTTGTTTTCGAGATAGTCATATACTAACAGATAATAATAAACTAGGATTTGTGGCCACCTGTGTGAAATGAGCTCTAGAATCTGCCAGTGATCCTGAATTATTTGGATTCCCTAACACCTAAGGAGAACTTGAGCTTATGGACCCTAAAAATGGGTCCTACCAGATCTCTTGACCTGATGTGGGCTTTGTAGAACTTCTTGCTCTGGCTGGCTTGGTGGGATTGAAATAGGGACTCATTAATTCCTGGAGAAAGCACTCTAGAGAAGTTCAACCTTCCCTTTCTCTTCCCTCCCCTCTCTGTACAAGAGCAGAGACTTCATATGGCTAGAGTAGGAAAGCTGTTAGTCCTCTCAGCATTGGGCCGTGACTTGAAGGAAGTCTTTTAGCTTAGGTAATTCTTAGCAGTAGCATCACTGCCTTGGAAATGTGGTCATGGAAACCACATTTTTTTTTTGTCTTTATGTCTATAAGAATTTGTAATTAGAAGAAGAAAGGTAATGTATTTTAATGTTGACATAAGAGATTGCTTGTTACTTGGGGTGGGGGTGGAGGGGGTCTCCTAACTCAAAGCATAAATGGGAGAGGAGGGGAACAAAGGTTAAAATGATAGCATTTAAGTGTGACAAGAAATTTTAAAAAGAAAGAGAAGAGTCAAAAAGGTGTTTCATCTTAGTTTTTTATAGGGGACAAACTAATTGTTAGTTTTTGACATTAACTGATGGGTTGGTTCCTTTTTCTTTTCTTTTTTTTTTTTTGATGTAGGTTCTGATGTCTCTTCATGAAATGTTCCCTGCAGTTCATGCAGCAGAAATGGCTGTTCAGAGAAATCCACATTCGTGGGAAGCATGGCAGACTCTGGGACGTGCCCAGCTTGGTTTAGGGGAGATTGTCTTGGTAAGGAAATATTATCTAAGTCCTGAAGACTTGCATTTATCGAAGTTAGATTTGATTGGATAAGCCTGAATATGAAAGCCCATTGATTTATATAACTCATACGAATTGCTCATAGGATCATAGAGCTAGATCTGGATAGGTTCTTCCCCAAAACTGTGCCAGCGCAGTGGCAGCCCTGGTAGATTCTCCCATGCTGAAAAGGCTCCAGGTGCAGTCTGGGAACAGACTCTCTGTGTCCTCTGAGGACCAGTCTATTAAGTGTAGAGACTCTTATCACCAGTAAGCTAGCCACTGAGAAACTCTGGCCTGGGTAATCAGTGAAAAGAACAAATAGAACAAGTACAACCCCCATCTACTTCTATAGTAATAGTCACAGAGTGGTGCAAAAGCAACTTTTGCTGTTGGAACTCTAAATTCCATATTTTTGTTCACTGACCAAAGGAATTGAACTGCTACTGGGAATGAACTGGGTCACAGCAGCCTTGGCATTCTCTCTGTGAGAATGAGGCTGTATCTAAATGCAGGTGTGGCTCACATGCCTTCCTGGAGAGGCACATGAAGAAATTGGAAGAAAAGTTAGAAAAAAAAACCCCAAACATTTTTAGTGATATCTTTCCTGTATTGTTTTGATATTGGTATCAAAATAACAATTAACATTGTCTTTACATTGCCAAAATTTCTCCTAGTATTCTTTTCCTCTTTCCTTCCAGAAAGCCATTACACATAACAAATAATAGTTTTTTGAATAAGAGGAGAAAGAAAAATATCAGCAAAATTGAACAGTACATCAAAAATAAAATCTGAAAATATATGCAGTGTTTCACACCCGTGGACCTATCACCTCTGCAAAAGAGTAGAGTGTGGGGAGATGTCTTCTCTCTTACAAAGACTGCTTATTCTTTTTAGTTTTGCAGCATTCATTTTTGATTGTTTTGTGGTTCTATTGATATTGTTGTAGTTTTTGTGTATTTTATTTACTTCACTCAGCACCCATTCATATAAGTTTTTCCATGCTTCTTTCATCATATTTGGAGGAATTAGTATTGTTATTTATCCATTTATCCATTCCTTAATAGGTCATTTGGACATTATGTATTGTAGTACTCAAGTTGAGTATTAACACCAACAACAAAAAAAATCACTGTGAAAATAATTGGGATGAAAAATTAAAGGAAGTTCTGAAGATTTTGATAAGATCCTCCAAATCAAATCAATGTTTACTTTGATACTCATTAACTTAAATCAAAGGTGTGAATAGGCAAGCACAGTGAAAAATATGTTGGGAAATAATGGTTCAGGAATAAGGAATGAGAAGGGCCCAAAACTTGAAGAATATACAGAAATCTCATGCTTATATGTCATAAATACTGTTTGAGAAAAAGAATCTTTAGACTCTGGACGTGGCAAGCACTAAATAACATCACAGAAAATGAAATTGATTACATCTTTTTTTTTTTTTCTTTTTGGTGAGGCAGTTGGGGTTTAGTGACTTGCCCAGGGACACACAGCTAGTAAATGTTCAGTGTCTAAGGTCGAATTTGAACTCAGGTCTTCCTGACTCCAAGACCGGAGCTCCATCCACTGCGCCACCTAGCTGCCCCGAAAATTGATTACACCTTAATGACTTATTGATGTGGGAATGATTCCTGAATCAACTGTCTGCATACAGACTCTTGTTAGAACTTGTTAGAACAAATATTAAAATTTATACAAAGATAAAAGATAAACTTGATAAAAAGATACAGTATAAAGTTTTAAAAATTCCAACCTGAACTATTTGAACAGGTTATCATCACTGAAAAATGAGATGTAGATGAAGAAAGGGTAGAACAGTAGGCCATTGAAAGAAGTGTAGCTAATGTTAATCAGTTGCTATAAGAAAGAGAACAAAAAAAGCCTAAAATCTGCCCTACTCAGCACCCGGTTGATTTACTAGCTAAGCAGAGAGATATGGTAGCCAAGAGCAATACCATTTTAAAACATAAGCTCACTAGTAAAATCTCACAGTGAGGAATAGTAAAAAAAATTATGAGAAATAATTGCCTAATAAAATAGAAGCAGAGGATGTGAAAACCATTTTAAGGAAAGCTAGGAGAGAGGACCCAGAGTCATCATGAAGATATTGTAGAATGAAACTGGAAGAAGACCACAAACAGCCCAATGAGAGAAAGAATCTGCAAAGTGTTTTTTATGAACTTTTCTCACAGTGAAGGACAGTGGAGCCACCACTTTAGAGGTGTCACATTTTAATTCTGGATATTTTTATAAAGAAATTGTAAATAGCACTGAAAAAAACAAGTGTGGGAAAAGCAGCCGGAATGGATCACATATACATAGGGCAAGTCTGTACAGGAGACAACACATTTTGAGGGAATTAAAGGATTGATTCTTGAGATATATGAAAGAGGGTAGAAGATCAAAGTTATGGGAGAAATCTGGGATCTTGTTATTACCAAAAAAAGCTGACCAAGAAAACCTAAGTAAATACTAACCCATATTCTTACTTCTTATCTGTGTAAAATTTTTATGAGAATAATTGATGCACACACCATGGATATACTCGAGGAGGGCACTAGAAGGGAACAGGAAGGTTTTTACAAGTAAACCACCTAGACCACATCTTTGCTGTCATACAGTTGACTAAGAGTTGAATAATATAGGATCTCACTGTACTTATTGTTTATTGATTATAAAAGAGTATTTAGTTTGGTTGAGCAAAATGTTACCTTAAAGGCTTAGTTTCAACAAGATATCTCTCATGCATGTTAAAATTATTCAAGGTAACCTGAATACTCTTAATGACAGAGATCACCTTGTCTAATCCTGTGGTCATTAATAATCACAATAATAGCAACAACAGCAATAAACATTTACATAGCAAACAGGGCCAGCCACTGTGCTAAGTGTTTTCTGTCTCATTTTATCTTCACAACACTCTGGGAGGTAGGTGCTATTATTATCTCAATTTTACAGATGAGAGAACTGAGGCAAACTCAAGTGACTTGCCCAGGGTCACACAGCTAGTAAATGTCTGAGACTGGATTTGAACTCACGTCTTCCTGACTCCAGCCCTGGCACTATATCTGCTGTGCCAACCAACTGCCCCCGATATCAAGTGAGGCCTGGAACAAGGAGACATATGCTCTCCAGATGTACTCACTGCTGACATGAAACAGATCCAGGACAGAGAGCAAGTTGAGGAGGAAGTACCTGAGATGGTCAGATCCTGCAGATTTGTGGATAACATTTAGTGATAGGATCAAGCCCTGGAACATTTAGGAGACTGCAGAACCTCCAAAATGAAATCATTAGCCATTCCAAAGAATTCATCTAACTATCCACATAGATAAAACTTCCAAATCCAAACCCAAAGAAACTCAGTGAACAAAGAAACTCAAGACTATTGATAGTCCAGACCAGTAATTGCCAAACTATGCTCTAATGGTCCACCAGCCGAATCTTGCCCACTGCCTGTTTTTATACTCCTGTGAACTAGGAGTTGTTTTTAAATTTTAAAATACACCAAAACTTTATTTACAAATATAAAAAACACTTCTTAGCTTCCAGGCCAACACAAAACAGACTATGCTCTGGGTTTGTCCTGTGGGCCATAGTTTGCTAATCCTTGGTCTAGACCAGGCCTTCTCAGTTCTTGGATTTGGCCTTTTGACTGAGTCCAAGTTTTATAGAACAAATCCTTTTATTAAGGGGATGTGTTCTCTGAAGTTTGGATTCAGTTAAAGGGCTGTGCTTGAGGACCCAGAGGGCCATATGTGGCCTCGAGCTTCAGGTTCCCCACCCCTGGTCTAGACTATGATATGTAGCTAAATGGGCAATATAGAGGGCTTGTCCATTACTATATATTTGTATTTTAGACAGATACTTCATATCAGGTCTTCTTACTTTTTTTTGCATTGTAGATCCCTTTGACAATCAGGTTAAATCTGCAGACCTCTTCTCAGAATAATATTTTTAGGTGCATAAAATAAAAATCATAAGATTACAAAGGAAATCAATTATAATGAAATACAGTTTTCAAAATATATTTTTAAAAGTTCACAGACCCCTTGATTGTAAATGGACATTGAATTGGACTGAAAATTGAACAGGGGAGGAAAGCAGATTGGATTGCCCTTGCATAATTTTAAACAAATGGCCCCAAACAAATACTGTCTGTTTAATACCAATATTTTTCTGGTGTTTTCATGGAGTGCTGTAATCTGTATAAAAAATTGAGGATAACCCAAAGGACAGTGGACAGGCATATGGTAGCTGTGAGCAAACTGAAGTAAATTTTAAGTGGGGAATTAAAAAGGAGAAGCAGTGTAAAGAATGCCGTCAAAGAAATGTTTGGATGAAAAAGATGGTCTCATCATGTGATGAGAGATAGAGATAGTCAGTAGATAGTCTGTTTGCTCATTGATATACTGGTGATGTCCAGAGGAGTGAGAAAAAAAATTATTCAACAGAAAAACCCCAAAGTCTGTGGGTCAGATGAAAATGCAGGTTATAAGAGTTGAGGGTGATCTTGAGCTGAGTCCAAGAGTTTGAGGGAACATTAATGTGGATTTTGAATATTTTGATAAGGGTGAGGATTGAGTTTGAGAGAAAGATTATGAGCTATTAGTGAATCAGCAAGCATTTATTAAACATCTATTATGTACCAGGTACTCTTCTAGGTTCTAAGAATAAAAATACAAATAATGAAGCAAGCTAATTACTGGACTTGAGAAAGGTTGTAGAATTCCTTGAAAGCTGGTAGATGACTTCCAAGAAGGATTTAGGTCAGATGTTTTGGCTGAATGGAGTGAACTTCAAAGGAGGAGAATTTTGCTGAGTGATTGTCGCAAAGAGAAGGATCAGAAGTGGCAGTAAGGAGCATATCTGTTTTTCTTCCCAGAGCGGTGTTTTGTTGGGAGTGTGAGAAAAGGAGCACCCAGTATCGGAAAAGGTAGCCAGGGCCACAGTGTCTTCTAAAACAGGCCAGGTTTTATGGGTGCAAGATGAGAGCCTGAGATGAGATCTAGGGTAAAGGGAAAATTATTGATGACAGAACAAGAGTGGAATGTGAAGGAGACAAAAGATTGAAGTGAGATGTAGCAGAGGTGGAGGTTGAGAGATCAGGGAGTGGTAGCAGAGGAAGGAGAGTTTCTTCTTGGCAGACAATAAGTATCAATTTTAGGGATTGGAATTTGGTGTTTGCTCTATCTGTGATGATAGCAGTTTACAGGGCTTCCCCTCTCTGGGGCTCCATGATGACAAAAGATGATGATCAGTTTGTCCCCTGAACTTACCTTAGTTTCTTGTTACATAGTAGGTGCTTAAGAAATGCTTTTGTTTGTTTGATTTTTCTCTCCAAACCCTGAGTGAAAGGCGGTTGAATAGGATCAGCAAATACTTGGTGGGGGAAATTTAGAAAAAATCTTCTTGCTCAGAGACCCTCTGGTCTTTGGACTCAGAGGGGGGAGTTAATATTTTTTGATTGAAACATATTTCCTCAAAATAGCTATCACACCTTGACTTGTAGTATATTTGGATCTAGAGCACTCTGTTACTTCTAATTAGAGACCAGAAAATTCATGAAGCCCTGAACAAAACTGGTACTTATGTTGGGTTATAGAACTCCTCAAGGACCTTCTGTGTTATATGCTAGTATCAATACTTCTAAAATTTTTAAAAATTAGTTTATTAATGAAATTATAAGTGTGTCAAAACGTATCTAGCCAATGATGTATCTTCAGAAGCATTATAAATAAGCAGCTTCAAACACTAAGGAAAAAGCAATTGCTGTAAGAATAATAGCATTTATATAGCACCTACTATGTGCAAGGCACTGTGCTAGGCCCTTTTACAAATATCTCATTTGATCCTCACAACAACTCTGGAAGGTAGGTATTGTTATTATCCCCATTTTACAGTTGAGGAAAGTGATACAAACAGATTAAGTGACATACCCCAAGGCCACACAGCTGTACAAAGTTAAGCCTTATTGTAGTTGGTTCACATAATTTTGAAATTTTTTCACATAACTTTCCAAAAAAAAATTTAGCGGTATAAAAAAACCCCAAAAAACTAACAAATCATAAATTAAATTGAGTAAGCGGCCTCTTCTGAAAATTCTTCCTAGGACCCAGGTAAGCTAAGAAGAAGGCACATTAAAAAAAATTACAGTTGTGTTTTCTAAATAGTTGATGAGGAATAAAAGTTCAAATATAAATATAGGAGGATGCTGTTAGTTTTACAGGGAAAAAAAATTCCTTCCTGCTAGACAAATTTGCTATTGTGAAAAGGGGACCATTTTTGTTCTCTTTACCACAATAATCTTTCCTGAAAATTTGTTAGGTTTTTTTTTTATCAAATTCCATGTACTAATTACATCTAAAAAATACTAAGCCAGTCCAATTAATAATTTACTTTCTTTTTTAATAGTTTGATTACAATCTTTATTATTTCATAGAGAGTTGAGAGAGGCCCCCAAAGTGCTACTGTTTGGTAAGAAATACTGTTGTTTATCTACTCAGATGACTTAGAGTAGAATTGGAAATTGCTAGTCTTTCTAATGTGTGCAGTATATCATAGTACATTGCAACATCAATTGTCAGAAGTTTTGGTAATATAAATCTTGTTTTGAGTGCAGACATGTTATCCACGAGATAAAGACACTTAATCTGTGCTTACAGTGATCTCTGTAATATTTATTCAGATTCCTATTCAGTTTTCTTACAGTAGATACTTGCATTTATCAATATACTTTGAACTGAGAATTTACCCCACACAAAACTGATAAACTTTGGTTTTCTTCCCAGTGCTGTCTTTTTTTTTTTTTAAGAAATTCTTAGCTACACTGAATTTTTATGAAAATGCTTAAATATGTCAGCCGAAAGAAAAAAGAAAGGAAGGAAGAAGGGAGGGAAATTACAAGTTCAGAGTGTGTTTTTGTTGTGTATTTTTATTTTTTTTTAAATTGCCTACTGACATATTCCTTTTATAATTTTCTTAGATCAACTAGAATGGTGGCTTCTGCAGAATCTTCAAACTTTTTTATTGGCCCCCTTCATTTTTTAGAAGCGTTCATTGAAAAGCCCCTCTGCCATCTAAATTTCTTTACATTTTTCTCAATTCATTGCAACCTTTTATTTTGTACTGATAAAAATTGGATATACCAAAGATTTTCATTGTCAAAGCCATCAGTGTTTAGGTTCTGTAGAAAAAACATTTGGAAAATAAATTGTAGATTTTCTGTTAAAAATTCATCATAGGGGCAGCTAGGTGGTGCAGTAGATAGAGCGCCAGCCCTGGAGTCAGGAGGACCTGAGTTCAAATCTGGCTTCAGACACATGATACTTACTAGCTGTTGTGACCCAGGGCAAGTCACTTAACCCCAGTTGCCTCACCAAAAAGGGAAAAAAAAATCTCCATGCTTTGGAGCAGCTAGGTGGTGCAGTAGATAGAGCCCTGGAGTCAGGAGGTCCTGAGTTCAAATCCAGTCTGGTCTCAGACCAGACACTTGACACTTACTAGATGTGTGACCCTAGGCAAGTCACTTAACCCCAATTGCCTTGGCAAAAGAAAAAAAAAGAAAAAAAATTAATCATATATCCTGTTTTACAAATTTGATCAGTATAATTATTTATACACTCTTGAGATCATCCTGCTGAGCTTCAGGTTCCTCAAGGAAGCGACTACTCGGCAGAAGAGGTTCAGGCACTTCCTGCCCAGATGCCTTCTACAGGCATGAGGGGGCTGGCTCTTAGAAAAAGACGAAGCGATTACAGCTGCTGCGCTGTTTATTTCCTTCTTTGAGCTTGGTGGTGGTCGGGATGGGGGAAGTGAGGGAGTGGGAGGAGAGTGTGCATTTAATAGAGATCAGAACAGCTGCCAGCTTCACCCCCTGCTCTTCTGCTCCTCTCCTCTCATTCATCAGTGCCTTTTTGATAGATTTCAGTGCACAAGACTTTGATGAGAAGCATCAGTAGCAATTACCAAAGCCCCAGCCAGTCACTGGCTTGCACCCTGGGAAGTGTTGTCATCAACAAATAATATTTTTTTATATTAGGCAGTAAGTTGTTCCCAGTGAACTCATAATGTAAAACACAAATAGAAAACATGGAAAAGAGATGGCTAGTATTAAATAGATTGACTTGAACACCTCTAACCTCTTTTTTTGTAGGCAATTAGAAGTTTCCAAGTGGCCTTGCACATCTATCCAATGAATCCTGAAATATGGAAAGAAGACCTTTCCTGGGCAAGAACATTGCAAAAGCAGCAGAAGGAAGCACAGAGGCTTAAAAGAACTGAAACACCGGCTGAAGAAACACGTTTTTCACCAAAATCGATTCCAGACTATGACTTTGAAAGTGATGAGATTGTTGCTGTTTGTGCAGCTATTGCAGAAAAACAGAAGACGGTTTCAGCAAATAAAACCATGGTGATTGTGTCAGCGTCTGGGACTGTAGAGACCATAACTGAGAAGGAAGAAGGTGCCACCATTCCGGACGGTTCTGTTTTTATCAAAGCTCGATAAAACAATGCATGAAGCTTGAATCCAGCTTGTTGAGCATCACTTAAAAGTTTTAGCAGCAGAGAAATCCGTCCGTAAGAAGCAGGGTGAAACCTATAATTTTGAGATGAGAAATTTGAAAACTTAATGGTAGAATCATTGCATAATGTCTGGTCAGCATTTTGATGACTTGTGACTTAGAATTGCAACTTCAAGAAATGTTGAGTAAAATGTTGATTGATTAACACATTTTGTTTAGTTTTTGCATGTAAAAGCACTCATTTTATTTGTGTATAACTTGAAAAGTGAAAGCTTGTTAAAAATACTGCAGGTTCCTTTTGTCATTTGTGGATTGATGTGAAGACCATTGTTGTGAATTGACTGTTCAAATTGATATTTATTTTTTGAAATTGGAAAAAGTGACAGGCTTCCCCTCCCTCTTCAAAATATATTGTTATTTAGGTGAAAAGAAGATTGAATCCAAGAGGAACATAAAAATATTTAGGCATTGTAATGAAAAAAGAAAGTTAATATTCAAAGTATCATCAGGAATATAGAACCTTGGAAACTTCAGCAAAAAAGTATGCATGTCTACATGTTCTGAGCAATTTTTGATACTTCTCTTAACTCAGATCTGTACTTTTGGTTTTTTAAACCAAATTAAGATTTTTGTAAATTGTAAAACCATATTAGAAACGGAAAAAATTATTGATCTATAATGAAGTTTCCTCTTCCTTCAGCATTTGTCAGATATGTCAGTTGATGATTGAAAAGCATTATTCTGACATTAGAATGTTTATGTTGTAAGAAAAAAAGGAGTAAGTAATCTCTGCCACACATGAATCATTTTAAAAATGTGGACTTTTAAATTTATTATAAATGTTTTTTACAGCTAGAGCACAGCAATATGCACATCCTTTTCCAGTTTAAATTCTATATTTTCCTTAATTTTAAAGCTTAAGTTACCTTTATGGTTATTTTAATATGTGATATTTAAGATGGTAGATTTTTATTTTCAGCCTATGGAACTTGATAGGAGCTCAGTTGGGTAAGAACATGGCTCACCATTAAACAATAGGTAAATTCTGTCCCTAAAAAATGAGGATGAAGTTACTAGTTCTTAAGTCACTAACTCATTGTCATGTCTTTAACTTAGAATCCAAAAGTTCATTCTTTATATTGCCAACCATCAGGAATTACTGAAGTTATCTTTAAATGAAAACTATCAAATGCATACAAAAATAAACATCTTTGTTAATGCAAGTTGATTTTATAATCCACCTATGTAATAAACTGTTAAGTAGAAGCTTAACTTATTCTGAATCTCAGAAAGATTTTTTTTTGATGTTAAGATCAATTATCTTTGACAGGAATCAGAGTAATCTGCTTCATTATGTGGATTCTTTTTTCCTCTTCTACATTGGAGGCAGGTCATTTGATAGCTTTTTGACAGGATCTTTGGGTGCATTACTCAGAGATGGAGAATCAGCACATTAATTCTGCTGTAGAAAGTATTGTACTATGTATATGATCTATCAGGGAGGTGGTTCCGGTTAGAATGGTAAGTTTTAATATAGCCTAAAAACAAAATACTTATTGTTTTAAATAATTACTAATTACAAATTGATTGGGTAAGTATAGATGTGAACAGTCTTGTAATTTCACTTACTGTTTGTGTAATGGATGTATATGCTTTCTTGTTTATTGTAAAATTCATGTATAAATAAAGTTGTGGGGTTTTCTGCAGTTTCAAGTTTTTAATTTTACTTAGTGTGGTAGATTTTTAAAAATAATGCCATAAGCTTTTATTCTCCTTTCTTAGGAGACAACATAAATTCTTTTGTAGATATTTAGCCCTATTTCTTTTATTCTGGTCTGGGGAAGAGTGATGTAAAGACAGAGGGTAAACAGTTAAGTTGCTTTATAATCTTTCCTTCACATTAAGGTGAAACCTCTGCCACCCTCTGCCAGGGTATATGGTTCTTAGTATAAGTCATCAACCCATGGAGTTGCTGTATAGCCACTAGAATGTTAAAAAAAAAAAATTAACCCCAGACTTAATTTTTCATTTTTCCTGTGCATGCAAATCAGGCTATTGTCCCCTTTAACCAAATAAAGTGTCATACTATTGCTTCTGTTTTCTTTCTGCATGTGTGATTCCATATAATCTGAGATATAAGAATGAGAGTATCCAATTAAAAAGGAAATCTTACTTCCATGTCTAGAAAGTAGCTAGCACCATTTTCTGAATAATAGACATAATCTATCATACATATTATCAGTGTTCTCGTTCTTGTAAATAAGGTAAGAGACACAGTGAAAGCTTATTGATTTGATGGTCTTTCAGTTGAAAGTATTTATTAACCTAAGCCTTTCTTAACTGCTAGTATAATCACATTAACAGAAAAATAACAGTAAATTATGTTAGGCATAATTTTAGCATGAAGCGCATAACATGTTCTAATTCTTTGAAAAGAAGTGTGTGAATGTATATTAACTATGTCAGTTTTTAAGTAAATAGAATATTTGGTTAGCCAAATGATTATATTCTATAAATATGCCAGAAAAGTTTGCTATATAATTGTTTCCAGGGATATTGTGGTATAGACCTGTTAGAAGAAAAGATGAATTATAAAATTAATAAGCATTGAGATAACTTTTAAAAGATGAGAATGTAGATAGCAGAACCAAGATTTCCTGCACTTCTAGTCTTTTCAGAAAACATACCATGATGATTGGAGTCCACCAGGGGGCAGCAGATTCCATGGAATTTGGAGTTAGATGCTCATGGACTCATAGGAGAAAATACCTCTATACTCTTTACTCCCTATGTGACCTTGTGTAAGACACTTACCCCCTGTGGGCTATAATTAGTTATTTGTAATGTATTTGTAATATAGTTATTTGTTTGTAATGTAGTTATTTGGAAGATGAAAGAGTTGGACAAGATGATTTCTAAGGTGCTTTCCAAGCTCCAAATTCTGTGATCCTAAATGTATCCTATTTCATCTCAGCTGGGTCCTCTGGCCTCTGCTAAAGACTTATTTTGATGACTCCTTGTGATATGGAGGTGACCCTTGCCTTCCCAAAGGCTGGAGCACAAACTCTGGCAGGTCCCACTAAGGTGCAGTCACCAAGTCTTGGATTCAGTGAATGACTTTGCTGTCCAAGGACCAGTCTAGCTAAATTTAGAGAGAGAGGCTAATTGCCAGTTTGACTACTAGGTTTTTTAAAACTAAATGATTTAATAGTTGGATTCTGATGATTAAAACATTCTATATTAATTTTTTAAAAATGTTTTTTTTTGTTTACATTACTGTCATTTTTCATTGACTCACACACACGCACAGTTATTCAAGCAAAAGAAACAACCTATTGGCTATATCTATAAATGTATTCATCATTCCATACCTGCAGTCCACTACCTTTCTGCCACCTCATCAGGCCTCTGAAGTCACAGTTGTCTTTGCATTGATCAGTTCTAAAGTTTTTCAATGTTTTCCTTTCAATGAATCAATAAGCATTTGTTAAGTGCCTACTATGTTCCAGGTACTGTGTTAGGGATATAAGTACAAATGTGAAATAGTCACTAACCTCAAGAAGCTTTCTAATAAACATTATATTATGTTATATATCATCACATAAATTACTTTCTTGCTTTAGCCACAGCAATTCTTAAATTCTGTTTAACTGAGTCATGGAGGGTTTACATTCTGCTTTGGCAGAAAGAATAACAGATCCTTGAAATAATTGACCTCCAGTGAAGAAGAATTCATTGTCTCCCAAAGTAGCTCATTCCGGTTTGGGATAACTCTTAATTATCAGGAAGATTTTCTCTACATTTATCCCAAAATCTGCCTTTTTAGGAACCTCTACCAATGGCTCCTAGTTCTGCTCTCTGGGGCAAAGCTGAATAAATCTATTATCTTTTTTATGTTGACAACTCCTCAGATAACTTGAATACAGTCACTATGTCCTCCCCAAGTGTCCAGATAAAACATCTCCATTTCCTTCAATGGATCCCTATAGGACATGGTCTCCTGTCCCCTCACCTTGGTTCTAATCTCCTTTGGATGTGAGCCATTTTGTCAATGCTCTCCCTGATATAAACTGAATACAACATATATAATGTGCCTTGACCAGGGCAAAATACAGTAGGACGATCTCCTTTGTTCAAGTAACTGTATCTTGAATAATATATTAGATCACATTTGCTTCTTTGAGACATTGAACTAGCAGTCTACGAAATTCCCCATATCTTTTTTATAGGAACTATTATCTCGCCATGCCTCTCCCATGCAGTGTTATGGATTTTTTTGAACCCAAGTATAGGACTTTACATTTTTCTCTTACGTTTCATCGTATTAGATTTGGCCCATAATTCTAGCATATCAAGGCCCTTTTGGATACTAATACTGTACAGCATCCAGCATGTTGGCCGTCCCTCTCAGCTTGGTATCATCTGCAAAATTGATAAGTATTCCATTTATGCCTTTGTTCAGTTTACTGATAAATTATGTTAAACAGCCCAGGGTCAAGGACAGATCCCTGGGGCACTCTACTAGAGATTTTCAACTTGATTATGATCCATTAATGACAACTCCTGGCATCTGGTCATAACTAGTTTTGAATCTACCTTGTCAGTTTCTTCAATTTTACTTCTATATGAATGCCTCTTAAAGCTATAGCTTGAACTCAGATTTCTCCACTAAATTCTTAAATTGCATTTCTTTAAAAATAATCCTTATTTTTATTGTTGTCTTGTTTTTATGTTACATTCGTTTCCAAATATTCTTCTCCACAACCCTATCCAGTGTCGTTAATTTCATTTACATCATTGTAGTCTTTGGTATATTATTTTTACGGTTTTTTTTTTTTTACTTCTCTGCATTGGTTCATATGTCTCCCCATGATTCTCTGAATTTTTCATAATCTCTTTTTCTTATGGCCCATAGGATAGAAGAGACCTAGCCTAATCAATAAGTACCTACTTTGTTTCCAATGCGTTGCTACAACAAAAAATATCCATAGTTCTCCTATGGATATTTTGATGAATATAGATCATTTGTTTCTATTTTTGACCTCCAGAGGGTATTTATCTAGCAATGGAGTCTTTTTTTCGAAGAAAGTGGACATTTTAGTCACTTAAAAAATTCCAAATTTCTTAACAATAATTAGCTCCATCCACTGTGTAATTAGGGTGCCTTAGACCTACATTTTAAATTGTATCACCTGGATGTCCCACTAGTACCTCAAGTAGATGTCAATAATGGAATTTTTGAATATATTCCCCCCCATAATTCTCTTCCTCATTTTTTTTTCATGCCACCATTATAGAATTCAGATCCTTATTACCTCTCGGCTACACTATTCCATTGCTTCCTACTCCATCTCTCTTGCCACTTGCCCTTCTAATCCATCCTGCTAGTCACCGCTAGATAGGGGCAGCTAGGTGGTGCAGTGGATAGAGCACTGGGCTTGAACTCAAGAAGATCTGACTTCAAACCAGGCCTCTGAGACCTACTACCTGTGTGACTCTGGACAAGTCACAATCCCTCAGTTTTCTCATCTGTAACGTAGAGATAAGAATAGCACTTATCTCCTAGGGTTGTTGTGAGGATTAGATGAGATAATAATTGTAAAGTGCTTCCTTAGCGCAGTGGCTGACATATAATGCTGTACAAATGTTAGCTGTTATTGTTACTAATCTCTGTCGTACACTGATTTTGTCACAGAATTTCAGAGTTGAAAGGGAGTTCAGTGGCCGTCTTATCTAGCCCGCACCCAGTATAATACATCTGACGAGTAGTGACCTAGCCTCAGATTTAAGACCTGTAAGGGTGAATCTACTACCTTACTAGGGAGCATATTTCACTTTTTAATAGCTCTAATTGTTGCGAAGTTTTCCTGATGGTATTCAGTTTGCCTCTCTTCACCTTCCACATATTGTTCCTGGTTGTCCTTTAGGGCTAAACAGAAAAAGTCTAATTCCTCTTCTTTTAACAGCCTTTCAGGTACTTGAAGATATGTGTCTTCTGAGTCATATCCTCTCCTAACTAAATATCCCTAGTACATTCAACTAATTCTTGTATGACTGGAATTTGATTCTTGTATGCCCTTCACCACTCTGGTTCCCTTTTCTGTTTTTTTTTTTTTTTTTTAGGCAATTGGGGTTAAGTGACTTGCCCAGGGTCACACAGCTAGTAAGTGTCAAGTGTTTGGTCTGAGGCCGGATTTGAACTCAGGTCCTCCTGACTTCAGAGCTGGTGCTCTATCCACAGCGCCACCTAGCTGCCCCTTCTCTCTCTCTCTCTCTCTCTCTCTCTCTCTCTCTCTCTCTCTCTCTGTCTCTCTCTGTCTCTCTCTGTCTCTCTCTCTCTCTCTCTCTCTCTCTCTCTCTCTCTCTCCCTCTCTCTCTCTCTCCCTCCCTCTCTCTCTCCCCCGCCCCTCTCTCTGTGACCCCATTTGAGGTTTTCTTGGCAAAGATACTAGAATGATTTGCCATTTCCTTCTCTCTCTCTCTTTCTCTCTCGTTCCCTTTTCTAGCATTTTCTAGCTTATCAACATCCTTCTTAAAAAGTGGTGTCAAGAACAATACACTAGATGTGGTCTGATTAAGGACAACTCCTGGAAGCCATGCCTTTCTTAACGAAGCCCAAGATCACATTGGGGCAGGTAGGTAGGACAGTGGATAGAGTGCTGAGCCTCAAGTCAGGAAGACTCAACTCTGAATTCAAATCTGGCTTCAGATGCTTACTAGCTGTGTGACCCTGGGCAAGTCCCTTAACCTTATTTACCTCAGTTTCCTCATCTGTAAAATGAGCTGGAGAAGGAAGTGGCAAATCACTCCAGTATCTTTGTCAAGAAAACCCCAAATAGGGTCATGAAGAGTCAAACATGACTGAAAAGAATGAACAACAAAGATCACATTAACTATTTTTTTGGCCGTTGTTATCCTGTTGACTCATTGAGTTGCACCTGGAGTCTATGAATCCCCCTAAATATTTTTCAGACAAACAATTTTAGAACTCAATCTTTGATTTGGCTAAGTGGACTTTTTGAATTCAAGTGTGAGACTTTCCATTTATCCTTTTTGGAGTTCATCTTATCAGTTTTGGCTCAACGTTCTCTTTTTGGATTCTGACAGGCATCCAGTATTAGCTATCTTTCCCAACTTTGTGTCATCTTCCCATTAGATAAGGAGATCATTTTTGCTTTTATGTAAGTTACTGATAATAATGTTTGAAAAAAGCAGAGACCTTTGGGACACTCCACTGGAGACCATCCAAGTTGACATAAACCATTAATGACTACACTTTGAACCTGACCATTGCAGGTCCATCTGACTGTACTATCATTTAGTTCACATATTTTCTATGGGAATATTATGAAATATTTTATCAAATGCTTTGCTAAAATCAAAATAAACTGTATCTACAACGTTTCCCTAATTTACCAGTCTAGTCACTGTCAAAAAGGCAATTCCTGATGCATTTTTTTCTTTTCTTTTTGATGTCTTTTGCCTTTACATTAATCATTTCCCACTCCACCCTCTATATTGAGTCTTTCCTTGTGATAAATTATGAAAAACAAGCAAGAATATCTAATTCAGAGACCATATCTAATGATGCATATGAATACTGTAATAGGATCATACATCTAGAATTGAAAGGGACCTAAGTCTATTCCCCTCAAATTACTATTGCTACCAGCTATCCTGGCAGTCTTCCATTTCTCTTCAGTAAGGGAGGAGATATGTTTCATCATTTCTTATCTAAGACCTTCATGTTTTTTCCTTTCTTCAGAATTAACTTCCTTTAACTGATCTATTCACTTACACGTGTGTGTGTGTATGTGTGTGCACAAACACATACACACACATATAGTTCCTTTGGTTCTATCTCAGTTATATAATTCTTCCCACATTTCTCTGAACTCCTCACATTATCCATTCCTTACTGTACAATAATATTCCATTGCATTCATATAGCATAGCTTTTTTTTCCAGTCATTTCACAGGCAATGGATACTCACTTTGTTTTCAGTTCTTTGCTATCACAAAGAATACTCCTATAATGAGTTTGATATTTATTGGACTTCTGTTTCCATCTTGAAATTTATGCCCAGGGGTGGCATTACTGTATCAAAGGGTATGGACAACATAATCATTAAAAGAAGACACAAACAGGAGATGGCCCCATCCCAGACACAGACTAGGATGTCATGTGCTCCTATAGCTGGGCTACACTGAGTCAAAGGAGGATCCTTCCCATCCCCAATCCTTACCAATTCTCTGGACCTCAGAGAGTCCTCATATATCTTAAAGCTGTCAAGAAGGAGATACCTAAAGCTCAGAAATTGCTTCTTTAGTATATCCATTGAGTTATGACTTCCTGTTCTTGAGTTGTGTCCAACTCTCTGTGACCCCATTTGAGGTTTTCTTGGCAAAGATACTAGAATGATTTGCCATTTCCTTCTCCAGCTCATTTCACATATGAGGAACTGAGGCACATGGGGTTAAATGACTTGCCAAGGGTAACATAGCTAGTAAGTGTCTGAGGATAGATTTGAATTCAGATCCTCCTGATTCTAGGCCCAGCACTCTATCCCCTGTGTGACCTAGCTGCCCTGACTTCTGGTTTAACAGGCAACTAAAAGTATCATCATGGCTAACAGGAAGCATCCATACCTGCTCTAAAGTACGCCACAAGAGGATGCTACACATTGTGGAATTTTGCCTGGAATCAAAGATAAGTTGGCCTACAGTTTGCAGTTTTCATTCTCTTCTTTTTTTGAAAATCAGGACAATTGCCCTTCTTTGGTACTTTTTCATCTCTCCTCTTTTCAATGATCTTACTAAATGTCACTAATTGTGGAGACAATTCTTTTAGGACCTGAGGATCCAGTTCATCTGGGCCCTGTGACTTTCATCAAATGCACCTGGATGCTTTCTTTCTATCTTCTTATTTTATATTTCCTTCTCTATTTGCCATTTTTGTTCTGACCTTTCAAGTTCTTGTATCGTTTTCCTTGGCAGACAAAACCAAAGCAAAATAAAAGTTAAGCACTTCTACCTACTCTCTCTTGCCAGATATTGTCTTCTCATCCATTCCAATAGTGGTCCTATTTCTTCTTTGATCTTCCTCATCTTCCCAGTTGAGCTAAGTCCCCATTCTCCTTTTAGTTATGTTTAGTTTTCCTTGACAACTTCAGTTCATTCTAAGATTTACTACTCTTAATACAATTCTTATAGGTCTGTTTTTGTAATCATCAAGCAATGCTGACGTTGATTTGAGCATTAAAGATAAAGATGGAATTAAAGATAATTTGTTAGTTTGAAATAGTTTTCTCAAGGATAGAGAATGACTTAAAGTACACACCCTATTCTTTTTTCCTTTTTTAGCTTTTATTTAGAATTTTATTTTTTCCCAGTTACATGTAAAAACAATTTGTAACATTCTTTTTTAAAACTTTGAGTTCCAAATTCTCTTCCTTCCTCCCTTTCCACACCCACTCATTGAGAAGGCAAGCAATTGGAAATAGGTTATATATGTGTTCACACCCCATTCTATCTAGTACTCTCTACATAGACCAGGGCTTTGGATTTCAGGTTATTATTTTACTTACCATTTATACATAAGCCACTCCAGGAACAGCCAATTAGAACTTTTCTGGAGGTGATATTTGCTGTTTTCTGTTTTCTGAAAGAAAACAATATCTGAAACCAGTTCCAGATATCAAGGGAAAATACTGGCCCCCATATACACAGGTTTATCAATTCCCAGATGTTAATATGCCTGATTTGGTACTGGGATATATGAGTAAATGTTACTAATGTGAACAGTTAAAGCAGAGTCTGATGTGATGTAATGGAAAGAGTACAGAATTTTGGGGTAGGAAATTTGAATTCAAGCCCCAGTTCTCAACACATACAAGTTGTGTGGCCATTGAGATCTTTGTCTACAAAATGGGGGTAAAGTTTCACTACCTGCTTTTTTTTTTTTTGGGTGAGGCAATTGGGGTTAAGTGATTTGCCCAGAGTCACATAGCTAGTGAGTGTTAGGTGTCTGAGGCCGGATTTGAACCAAAGTCCTCCTGACTCCAGGGCTGGTGCTCTATCCGTTGCATCACCTAGCTGCCCCCCACCACCTGCTTTACAAAGTTGTTGTGAGGTGAAGAAAGCATTCTGTAAACTTTGAAATACTCTATAAATGAGTTATTATTAAAAATATAGTGGAATTTTCTGCCTTGAAATTTTTTTCTAAATGATATGAAACTATTGCTTGTTTTATGTTTCCCCCTCCCCCTTTGGCTAGGCAGTGGGGTTAACTGACTTGCCCAGGGTCACACAGCTAGTAAGTGTCAAGCATCTGAGCCCAGATTTGAACTCAGGTCCTCCTGACTCCAGGGCTAGTACTCTATCCATTGTGCCACCTTGCTGCCTGCTACTGCTTATTTTAGATTTTTAGATGAAATATTTTTGGACAGAAAAGGATGAAGAAATAGTAATTTGATGTTCTTCATGGTCATTTGTTATGCATCTTAGCAGTACCTGCTTGTGAGTGGGCATTGTCTCACTTGAGTACAAATAAATTAGAATATTTTCAAAAGTAATTAATGTTCCTATTCCTTGTTAACTTGAGATAATGCTTGAAAGCATATCCTTCCAGGCTTTTATTAAATTGACAAAATGGAAAGTTTTAGGTCTTTAAGCTCATTAAGCTCTCATGGTATTGTTTTTGACATGCGTCTAGGATTTCTATAAGCATATTCTAGTGTTTGTTAATTACTTGATGTTACATGATTTATGAGATTTAAGGTCACATTTTTCTAACCCTTTGGTCTCTCATTACTAACAAAAGTTTATTCAATTAAAGCACTCAAAGATGTTTTTAGTACCTCGCTTATGGGGTATATCTGTCTGAGAGATTTTGGGTTCCTGTTCTTGATTAGAAATGACGAGTGTTTACACAAGGAATAATGATCAAGAAACATGTTTACAGAATCTGCCTTATGTACAGAAAATCACTTATATCTAATGTCTACCAACTCATGTCAAACATGGGCATAGTCATGTTGCTTTCCAGTGCTATAAGAGAAGTATAGGATTTCAGAGCTGGAAGAGAACTCAGAGGTCTTCTAATCCAGCCACTCATTTTACTGAGGAGGAAACAGGCTCAGCTTGTTGAAAGGGCGTGGTCAAATCCACATAACTGTTAGTGGCAAAGCCAGGAATGGAATCTAGGCCCTCCTGACTCTTCCCCAGGGCTCTCCCCACTACACTGATGCTACTTTCACAGAAGTTGGTTTGTAGATACTCTTGGGAGTATGTTGAAACTTGTATGCTGATATCTACTTTACAGAACTTTCATTAATGAAGTATCTGAGTGGCTTTGAAAGCTGTGACTTGAAGCAAGTTGTGAACCACATGATTCAATTCTAAAGTTATAGAAACCTTTCAAAATTGTGGGGAGTTCATATCTGAATGAATATTCTTTTTTATTGTGATCGCCAAAATAATTTCACTAGGTACAACTTCTCAAACGGTACCAATAACAGGCTCAGAATTTAATTACAATAAAGCAATTCACAAAACACTTTAGGCAACAGAACATGCTTAATATTTCTTTGAAAAAGGCTCCTCCAAATTTCTGTACAGGATTAATGTGTGATACAATAAGCTGTTATAATGAGACCCCAAAAGAACGTCATTCTACATTCCTTATATAGGTACGCTTTCAGGACTGTCCTGTGGAAGACCAAATAGTCCGATCCTTCCACATATCGCAAATAGGAACTTTCTTAAATGATGACTCATTTTCCACTCAAAACAATAGATATTGTAGATTTTTTCCCCCTGCAACTAGGTGAAAATATGTACATTTTATTTTGATGGAAAAAAAGAGACCTGAAATTTTGATTTTTTTTTAAAATTACATACTTCAGTTTGGGGTTTATTCATTTAAAGACATACAGATTTATAGTATGCTACTAAAATGAATGTACTGGTGGGAATTTAAAAGGAAAATATTCACCAGCATATTCATCTTTCCTAAAAGAATGATTTCCTGTGAAGGATGAACATTGCTCTCTCTTTTAATATGTGTAGCACATACTTTGGAAAGAACTTTTATTACTTAAAATTTGAAAATTATAGCCCATCACTCCTTTTTTTTTCTTTACCCTTCTATATTGCTAAAAACTCTCATTACAATTTCAGATCTACTGATTCCATCATCAACAATCAACTAGTCACAGGTTGGCCTGAACATGCCTCATGAAAAATAAATCATACACCTGTAGCATCTATAACATCAGCAGATAATATTGGGAGGAAAAGGTATGCCATTATTCCATCATACTTTGTATTAATAATAAAACCTTCTCATGGAGAAGAAAATACATTAAATAATTTCATTCATGATATATACAGCAATAAAAATTCACATTTTCATGCTTTAGCGAGACACTGAAATTGTCTACCAAACAGTCCTTGTAGTTTATCTGAACAGAGGCCTCTTAGGATCTTACCCATTGCTTAGTGACAGATATGAAGTTCCCGATGCCAAAGGAACAACAAAGCGTCTATCATCTTGAGAGAGGCAAAGAGTAGACTCTTTCAGACATCAAGCCCTGGGAGTAGTCCTATGTCACAGACGCATGTCACAGCCACGGCACTGAGTATGTCTGGAGTCCAAGGGGACATACCTCATCTACCATCAGGAAACACCGCTCTGGAGTGGGTGGAAAGTCAAAAACAGCCCTTCGGAGCCTGACCAAATCCCTCCTAATGTGTCGAGTGCACTGGACCTTACTTACAAGATCCTCGAAACAGCATGGTTATTTGTCCTATACCCTCTATATACACTTTTCTGAAAAGTTTAATGTTTCATTAGGGAAAGTGACTTGCAAAGAGCCACCCTTATCTGCAGGGCCCATTGCCCCACAGTTCCCGCCAACTTCATCCACTAATATCACACTCTCTGAGTCCTGCCCCTGGGAAGAGTCTGAAGTCTCTGAGCTTCGCATAGTCCTCAGTGAAGTGGTTTCTGATGAGGGCAGCCCGGGCCCGGCTCCTGGCAACATATTACGGCCCCCAGTGCCAGCTTCACTGAGCTCTGGCATATAAAGGAGAGTCTGGGAGGTGCTGCTGACCTCTTTCAGTTCCCGGGACACGAATGACCTCGAGTGGCTGGACATAGCAGATGTCCGGGGGCCTGTGCAGTTGAAGTTGCCTCCTGACTGTTCCCTGCGACCTCCTCCGATGCGGCAAAAGAGACATTTTATTTTCTCTATGGCTTTACTGAGCACCGTCTTTCGGAGAAGGATATAGATCCAAGGGTCTAGAATAGGGTTCACTGAAGCAATTCGGATAGCCTGCAGGTCAGGGTTCTTGCTGACATCAGTCTCAGTTTTTGGTTGGTACAACTGGTTCACAAAGACACGCACCTAAAACAAGGAGATATACCCCAAATTTAAATTCGGTTCAGGGAAAAGCACTTTAAGAAAAAAAAAAAAAGCTTTGCCAAGTCATGACAAATTACAGCAAGAGGAAAGCAAAGGTTTCCAGGCAAAACTTTGAGAATTCAGTTTGTAAAATGAGAAATAAGCATAGACACAAATTATGCCACTGTTGCCTTTTAGCTAAGAGTTTAAAATTCTATCTTTTCTACATTACTGTTTGGTGCATGCAAACTTTTGCTAAATCGTTTGTGATACCTTTTATCTTTCACTTCTATAGTATTAATATGTGTGGGTAAGGCCTATCCACATGCCACATTATTACCATTACTGAAATGTGACTTCTTTCCTACCACTGATCTCCCTTCTCACTGTCATATGTTTTAAATGAAACTCTTGTTTCACACAAGTCTTCACAGGCAAGTCTAGAGTTGCCCATTTTTATATAGTTTAGAAAAGGCCGCTGTAATTTTCAGTCCTGGAATGTCAAGGAAACTATTTAATCCTTCCAAATGCAGCTTTACTGGAACTAATCAGCTAGGCAGCTGCATGCTGAATGACGAGGACGACTCATACGGATCTTTTTTTAAGTCTTCTCATATAAAAGCTATCTAATGATCCTAGGACCCAATATGACTTGGGGGAATTTTGTATTTCTTTTCTCTAAAGGTGACTGGACTTATTGGGAATGCACAATCTGATTACAAATATTTTAAAGAAACCTTCAAATGGAGATAATTTCTATTCGGCATGTTTTTTTTTTCTTTTTTTTTACTTTGGACTCTTTTGGCAAAAGAGAAAAGAAAGAAAGAAAAAGAAGACAAGATAGGGCAAAAGAACTAACTCTTGATTTCACGAATCTTTTAAATGCAGTTTATTTAACAATCAATGTTTCAAAAGCCACAGTGTGTCAAATACTCACTCACAGCCTGTTTATTCATATGTAAGGAATGGTTTTTAATAATTTGTTTTGCTATTTCCCCAGGTTAAAACAGATTATAAGCAGCAACATAGAAAATGGGTGAGGAGCTGTTAGAGGAAGGTACACTGAAAACAGAAGGAATTAACAAGTGGATGATGAAGAAAACAGAAAAACTACAAAAAGCAAACAGCAGGACTCAAAAACCATAATAGTACATTTTACTATTTAACATAAGGTCAAACACACTATTATCTTCAGGAGCCAATGAAGCTGTTATTGTCTGTTCTATGTCCAGGATTGCACAATAACATGACTTTTCATAATAATGACCCTGAATTATAAGGCAGGAGTTAAATGATATTTGATATCCTCTGCTCAGGAGGAGGAAGTGGGCAAATCCATTAAAAAAAAGATTTGCACAAAGTTATTACGATAAAAGCATTTTTGACAAAATTAAATTTAAAAAAAATCACTTATTGCCCAGTTAGTGAATGACATTCCAGATATTTTAAAAATGTCTTGTTTTTAAATAGTAATTCATATATAAATTAACCCCAAACTACAGCACACTAGCTTTGTGACCGAGAGCAAATCATCAAACCTCTCAGAGATTGTTTCCTTATGTGTAAAATAAGGATAATGAAACTGAAATGGTCTCCCTCACAGGGGTGTGATGAGGAAAGTGTTATATATTTAAGTGCTTTATAAGTGTCGGTTGTTATTATCATGATTACTAAAATAGAAATGGACATGGTGGTTCATATAGAATTAATCTTTGGAAAAGAGATGAGCATGTATTTTACGTGTAATTTCAGCTACTTTGGCATAATAACCTTTTAATGCGTTCTCTAGGTAATGTAGTAACATTTTAGAAAACACTCAGAAATATGTCTGTAGTCTGGTCATTGTTTTTCTAGATTTGGTATAGATATTAAAGAGACAAAGAAGCATAAGAAGATAGAAGGCCAGGACCTGGGTTCATGTCTTACCTCTAAAGTACTAGCTGGGTAACCATGAGCAAATCATTTACCCTCTCAATATCTGCAAGCAATCACTAGACTAGAAATACAAATGAGCTTCCAATCTGCATCAATAGAGGAGTTCACCCACTCTCCTCCACCCCTACTCTTTCCCTACACAGATGAAAATACAGGTCCTTATTCATTTATTTGTTTGTTTGTTTGTTTATTTTTTAAGGATAGATGTTACCATGGTTTCCCTACACTGGAGCTCTTGACAGAAAACACAAAGATCACTTCTAACTTACATACTTATTGGTATCTTCTTTGTTTACCTATCTACTTATTACCTAGAAATAATATAAATTGTTGTTGTTCAGTCATTTTTCAGTCATGTTTGATTCTTTGTGACCCCATTTGAGATTTTCTTGTCAGAGATACTGGAGTTGGTTGCCATTTCCTTCTCCAGTTCATTTTATAGATGAGGAAAGAGAGGCAAACAAGATTAAGTGACTTGCCCAGGGTCACATAGCTAGTGTTTGAGGCTGGATTTGAACTCAAAAAGATGAGTCTTCCTGACTCCAGACCCTGCACTTTATCCACTGCACCACCTAGGTGCCCAAATAATGTGAATACTGTATCTGAATTTTTTCTTAAAGTAAATGCTGTAAATGTCGTATCTGTATTTAAAAAAAAAAAAAAAAAAGCTTTGTCAGTGGTAAATCTATAGGCTATGATTTTAACAAGATTGGAGAATTATGGCCACTAGGTGGCAGGGCTACTCCAATTATCGCCTTAAAGAAAGCTAACTAACTTCGTTTTTCAGTTTCTAAGTCAGCTACTAAGGATAATCAACTCAGAAGTATTTGACTTGGTTAAATGGAAACTCTGTATCTAGCAAAAATCTAGCCTTTGACATGGCCAGGTGCTGCCTGCCTCCACCCTTTCCACCTCAAGAGACTAGTAAAAGAGGGCAAATTCTTGGAAAATTTATGGTAGAGAAGGTGTCAAAGAACACAATTCTTTGAAATGCATTTCAGTATCTTAGAGAATGAGGAATGTCACTGAGTGTTTAGCAAGTTGATGGTTAGTGCTAACTCACAGAACACAAGCCTCCTTTCACCACTGTCTTGGCTGTCTTCAGGTAAGGAGAGTAACATCTCTGTTTTTGTTTACCTAGTAGTCAAACTATAGTGGTAATGTTTAGAATGAATGCCTGCCCGCATGGTGCTAGAAGGCCATGGATGACAGTCATGTTAAGAAGAACATATTTCTATTTTAATCTTTTTTGGTAAAAATGGTTAAACGCGTCAAAGGTGAAGGGGATGCACTCTTGTTAAACCTTTTAAATAGTAGCTAATGGAACTCTTTCAAAGTTGAAGTTGAAATTTCCATGACAACTTATTCTCCATGGAGATTTTATTTCAAGATATAGCATCTTATACTGTCTTGCATAAATACATTATCATGGCTATTTGATCTGCTTTTCCCAGAGGGTAGAAAGCCTATAACAGAATGAATACATCCGGAGAAGCAATCCAACTTATGTGGGAAAATTGAGAGCATTTTTTTCTGAAATTCCCATTCAATAGGCCCTAAATGCTACACAGAATAAACATGCTCAGGCAGTTTTCATTGTGGAGAAGGTGCACTACTGATAAAACAGCATCTGAGTCAGGAAAGAAAAATCTTGAAATAATTTAGGTTAAAAAATAGAACACAGACAACCTATCACCATCCAACCTTAAGAAATTAATCTGGCTTAAAGTAACTTCAGATTTATATATGTGGTTTATTCTTGGCAAAGCTGGGTAGTAGCTTTACAACTTCTTGAATCTGTGGAAGCTTCGGTATTGCCTTCCCTGTCCCCGAACCTTTATCTCTGGGATAGTGTGGGAATGAGGCGTGGATGGTCATGAAGCCCTCCTACCATAACTATGCTTCTTTTTCAGGAACCTCTAGAGGTGCTTTTGTAAAAACCTGAGGTTCAGTGAAACACAATTCAAAAGTCACAGTGCAAAAATACAGACTTAGTCTACAATTATTGGACAGCTAGGTGGCACAGTGGATGGGGTGCCGGACCTCCAGTCAGGAAGACTCATCTTCCCAAGTTCAAATCTGACCTCAGATACTTACTAACTGTGTGACCTTGGGCAAGTCACCTAACTCTGTTTGTCTCAGTTTCCTCATCTGTAAAATGAGCTGGAGGAGGAAATGGCAAACTACTTCAGTATCTCTGCCAAGAAAATCCCAATGGGTCATCTGAAAAAACATCAGAGTAACAATAATAGTCCATAATTAACATCATTTCAACAGGAATCAAGGAATGTTGCACTGAGAAAGGAAGCTGACATTCTAATTAAGATGATTTAATAACCTAGTAAAGAAATTATGATTTCAAATGACTGAAAGCGGCCTGTTATTGAGGTTCTGTGGTACCCGTTTTACTTGAAGAGCATTAAATGGTTTGTATGCTCAACTAGCTAGATACCTTCTGAAAAGGCTAAAATTGGCACAATTGTTACTGAAATCCCTGAAAAAAAGATCCTTTTTTGTAAAAATACTTCTAAATAAAACCCTTACCTCAACACTGAAAGAATGCAGGCCATCACATTGTGATCAGTATGTCTTAGGAAACATTTGTTCACCAAAGAATTGACAGAAATGTCACAGTTAGGTACATGTGGTGGTACAAAAAGACCATTGGATTAAGAGCCAGAAGGTCTGGGATCAAATATTCTAGTCTTATTCTGTCATTAACTGGTAGCACACTGCTTTCTAAGCCTTTCTAAGGTCTCATTTCTTAGTACGTAAGATGAAGTTAATAATACCTGTGGTGAGGTTTGTATGAAAAAGGTGTAAAACAAGGGTGCAAGTGATTCAAAGGAGGTTGAAATATATCCAAGACCTGAGTATGTGGGGAATAGGTATAGAGATCTAAGCCTTTGATGCTGAGGTGACAAAACAATGGAAATAATATGCCTGCTAAAGATATAGTGGATGGGAAAGCCTTTTGGAAAATTCTAATGCACAATACAAGTGTATGGTATCATCTGGAAAAAAAAATCTACCTGCAAGAGTTGAAAACTACTGGAAAGTTGTCAAATCATTAGCAAGGATGGTACTGTGATAAAGTAATTACTATGACCAAAGGACTTTATCAATGAGGAAGAAAGTGAAGGTGTGAGGAAGAAGGTTATTGATGCTAAGTTTGGTTTCTAATAGTGAATTAATCTTCTTACCCACTTTAAAGCAACACCTGTCTAATGCTTCAACTTATCTAGTGATGGGTAAAACTCAGCTGTGGAAAATAAAATTGGAAGGAGAGGATTGCAATAATGGTGCTCTAATACAGCAATTTGTGTGTATTCATGTTAGTCATGGAGACATAGCAATGTATAAATATACACACCAGGAGGCTTACTGTCAGTCTTAAAATGTGCTATGTTTAAAGTTAAGGAGATAAAAAATAACAAAACATTTTAGGTTCTGCTCTAATGGCATCAAAGCATGTTCTTCTGTTATTTGTTTACCTAAACCTGCACTGCCTCCCAGGGCATTTTATTGCTCTCTTTACAGTAAGCCTACTATAAACAAAGAAGTCTTTTTTTTTTGACCTGGTTTTCATCTACTTTTATAAACCTCTCCTAATCATATACTAGCAAAGACTTTACAGAAACAATTGGTTTTATAGTAAACAAAAAACAAAATATGACATGGCCAGTCATTTTCTAGACTAAGGATGTATTAAGCTAGAGTTGTTAGTTTTGTCTAATTTGCCAACCTCCTTTTAGTAGTGAGATGGATTTTTCTTAAATTTGGAGTAATAATAAAAAAAAGACCAGTTCACATTTTGGAGATGAAAAAAATATTTTCCTGATCCTGCAGCAAATAGGCTGACCCTGAAGCATGATATTTGATTTCAGTGATTATTTTTGCTTGGAGAGCTGCAAACATGAGCAGCCAGCAATTGATCTAGCTATTGCGTTTAAGCAACCTTTGGTGGCAGTCTTCTCTGAAGCTTTCTAGAGTGAGCATTCCCTTTTGTTTATCCCATGAGTAGAGATATTATTTCTTCAAACCTTCCTGGGTTTTGAAACTGGCTATAAATGAAGGAATGGATGAAATGATCATAAGTGTATCATCCCCAATATCTGTTTTCTCTTTATAATTTTTTTCCAGAGGATTCTGAAGATTCAGTTCATCATATTATTCAACTTGAATCTTTTCAAGAGTGTGTGAACAGCTAATTTTTTTCTACTGTCTGCTTAGAGTATCTCAAAAGGTAGAGTTTTTCTGTTTACAGCTTAGTTCAGTAAAGAAATTTCAGTTTGTTATCCAGGTAAAAATTTCTTCAAAAACTTAACTAAACCCTGGAATAACTTTTAGCCATTCTCCTGAACAGAAACAGTTTCTTACCGATACTCTGGCAAAGGAGATCACAGCTGGTAAACTATCATTATTGTTTTTTTCTGGTACTCAACAACTTTTAAAAACAAGGCAAAATCTATTTTTTATTCATAGCATGTTGTTATTCTGGTTAATATTATCACAGCTTTTTGGAAATCCAAGTAAACTTTTTGTTGCCTATCATCTTTATCTGCTTGACTTAAATGATCTGAAGGGTTTGTCCCTCAGACAGACATCACTGACCCTACAGGTCCAGTTTACTGGTTTCTTGAAATTGAAGTTTAGGCTTAATGATTATTCACCTTTGGATTATTCCTTGGCTCATTACATAATTCATAAGCTTGTCAAGCAGTACATAGTCTTATATTGTAATAATATGAATTCTCAAAATAGTTAATTTTCATTAATTTTTTTCATTATCACTTATGTCTCTCATTTTTAAAAATCATGAACGTAAACGAAACCTATTAGTTCTCATTACTGCCTTTTTAAAGTTAAGAAAAGATTAAGCCATAGATTCCTTTCAAAGGTGTTTCAGTGCTTATCCTATTCAAATGTCTTTCATTCACAGACTGAACTTCCTTATTTTCTCTTTAACTATCTTAAATAGGATGGAAAGCGCTCAAAATGCATTGTAGCTTGCTAGTTTTGAGCTTTTTGCTGAGTTTTTTTTCCTTATTATTTCAAATAAGCATGAAAACTGTTACCAGAAATGAACCTGACTCTTACATTCATAGCAACCAGGAATCTGTCCATTAAAATGTTTAAGTCTTTTTAGATCCTTCCAGGTCTTAGAAGAAGGCATTTTCCCATTGGAAGATACTACTCTTTGTCCATTTGTCGTTTTAGAACAACCACAAGAACATTTTTGAATTACATGTTGTTTAACTTTCTAGTTCTTACTTCTGCAACGTAGATGTTCTATAGATAAAAACCATTTACACTGTCATTTACCATACTGTGAAGCCAAGGGAAAAGACCAAAGAAGGAAGCTTGTTGCTTCCAAAATCTCACTTCATTTCATACTACTGATAAGGACAGTAAAACATATTTATATAGCAAAAGTGAATTAACTCTGCAGATTATATTAGGTCCTAGACCCTTTTGGCCATATTTTGTGCTTCTGTTTATACACTCTGGCAAGATGCTACTGTAAGCTGGCTGCCATCCATTTTTAAGGCTCTTCCATTTACATTCACCTTTATCAGAGACACTATTTTAACAATCAAGATCCCTACATGGTTGGTGGTAAATAACAATAGCGTTGTTATATTTATTATCATACATCCTAACCAACTGACTTGACAGAAAGAACTGACTTGTCCAATGATTGAACTGGTGGTGAATTTCCAACTGAACACAACGGTAGTGAGACTAAAACGGAATTACTTTTTAGAAAGTATCATCAGTTTTAAGGTTTAGCATTAGCTTTCCTGACAGCCTACATGTACAAGAGACTATGTGGTACAATAATTAGAGAGATGGCCTCAAAGTCAAGAAGATATAGATTCAAATCCTGCTTCTGACACATGTGACAAAACCTCCCAAGTCTCTCCAAGACAGTGCTCTCAGACTGCAAGATGCAGAGAATCTGTAGAGGGAGTTTCTTCACCTGGGAGGGAATTCCCTATATGTGAAAACATGGGTTTATACTTAATCTATACCAATTGGCAAAAAAAATAATTTATGGTAAAATCAAAGTAAACCTGTTCTCTTAAAAATAAAGCATACAGGGGCCGCTAGGTGGCGCAATGAATAGAACTCTGGCCTTGGAGTCAGGAAGACCTGAGTTCAAATCCAACCTCAGACACTTAACACTTACTAGCTGTGTGACCCTAAGCAAGTCACTTAACCCCAATCACCTCACCAAAAAAGAAAAAGCCAAAAAAAATAAAGCATACCAAAATCCAATGATATTCATATACAGATGTCAGAATCATACTTATTCTGTGAAGGAAGATGTATATGGGTTATTACAAATGTATGTGAATGATCAGTTTTGCATTAGTGCTGAAATATGTGCTTCCTGAAAATTTAATGGAATTTTCTCTGTAAGAAAAATGAGGTGCAGTTGGAATAGCACCAGACTGGCAGTTAAGAGAGCCAGGTTTGAGTGCTGACTCTGTGTTGGAGATAGGTGGCTGAGTCTCTGTTTCTTTCCCTGTTGAACTACAGATGATCTAGGAATCTATCAGGACCCCTTTAAGCTCAAAATTACTGTTCTTTACGATTTTAATACAAAAGTCCTTTAAAAATCCCATCTTTGTAGACTACCACCAAGCTCAGGTTCTATCCTAACAGTGTGGGAAAAGAAGAGATAATACAGTTGTGTAAGGAAGAGAGCATTCTCTTTCTTAGGAAAGAAATACTCCGAAAAGAAATAATATGTAGAAAAGCCCCCTCAAATCCTTGTCGGCAAAATTCACCATGAAGAGGTGTGAAATGAGGGTGCAACTGATTCAAGGAGGACTGGAATGTATCTAAGACCTTGGAATATGCTGAGATGACAAAACAATGGAAAAAAGACACCTGAAAGGAGCAAATAAGGGGAGGATCCACCAGCAGGGTAAAGTTCACTAGAAATTATTGTAGAGGCAGCTAGGTGTTAGGGAAAGGGTACTAGACTGAGAGTCAGGAGGCCTGGGTTCTAGTCCTGTTCTAGTCTAGTCTAGTTCACTAACTAGCTCACTTCAGGTTAGTCAGTTTGCGGCTCTGAACCGGCTTCCTGATCTGTGTAATGAGTGAGTTTGTGTAGCTGTTCCCTTCCAGTTCGAATATTCCAGGATTCTAAGTCAGTAGAATTCTGGCTAACTCACCACGAGAGGGATGGAGCAGATGAGCACCACCAAAGAGGTTGCAATGAGTAAGATGACCATCTGGATCTCTGCACCAGCAATGCGGCGGAAGCTCCTACGCCTACGAAAATCACTTAGACGAGGGACAGCAGAGCAGGAGGCAAGGCCAGAGGAGGCAGCGGAGACCACGGCAGCGGCGGCGTGGTGGTGGCTGTCAGTGCCCAGCGAGGTGCGGCGCACAAACTGGCGGTGCATGCGTATGAGCGCCACGCAGACCAGAATGTTACAAAGAACCGTAACGAGGATAAGGAAGGAGCTGAAGCCAGCATACATGTAGGAGAAGGCGGCGTGTGTGGTCACGTTGGTGCGCCAATCTATGAAGCACCAGGTATTGGGGTATTGAAGCGTGGAGCTCCCAAGTCCCATGCTGGGTAGGGCGCAGAAGAGTACGTTGGAGACATAAACTGCAAAGAGCGTGAGTCCGGCCAGCTTCTTGTCCACGTAGTGGTTATAAAAGTAGGCGTGGTTGATGGCCAGGTAGCGTTCGATACTCATGGCGCAGATGATGCTGAGGCCAGAGAGGCCAAAGAAGAGGAGGATGAAGGTGCTGTATTCGCACAACCCATCGCCTCCGGGCCACTCTCCCTTCACGTAGGTGGCGATGGTGACCGGGCTGACCAGCGATGTGCCCAGCAGGTCGGTGACTGCCAGCCCGCATACCAATGTGTAGAAGGTCGTCTCCTTTTGTTCCTTTCGAGACTTGCACAACACCACGATAGCGATTAGGTTGCCCACTACGCCGAAGATGAACATCACCGCTGGAATTGTCACGGGAGGGAGAGGACCGGTCTGGTTCAAGAGTGCCACAATGGCAGAAGTGTTGGCATTGGAGAACATCGTGATGGCTAGAGCGGACGGAACCTAGGGCGAAAATCTGCGACCAAGAGGGATCCAGAGTGTGAGCGATGGAGAGAAGAAACGAGCATTGAGCAGCATTTAATTTTATTTTCTCTGGGGCTCAGCTTTCACACATTGCGTATAATAAGCGTAAGCATATTACAATTCATGAGGATGATAATCAAGTTTCATCTAGATAGAAATCTACAAGCTTAACCAATATTGCAGCTCGAAAGATAAAGGCTTTTGGTTCTTTTTTTAAAATCATCCTCTCCTTTTTTCTCTCACATCGTCTCCCCCTTCTTCCCCTCCCCTCCCCTCCCCTCCCTCCGTGCTAGTAGAAAAATTAGGACCCGGGCAAGGAGGAAAGCTTTCTTGCATAGGACTTGGTTCTGTTTAACGACACTCAATAAAAAGCAAACAAACAAAACCAAGTTAATTGAGGGCGCTGTTTGGGGGGGAAAATGTTGAACCCGCCAAACTTGCTCTGTGCCCTTGTACTCCTTTCCCGCTCCCAACTTAGGGAAGCGCCTCATCTCCTGTCAAAGCTACCCCCTTCCTCCCTTCTTTCATCCTCCTCCGTCCTCCCACCTCAATCTGTCTCCCCTCCCCAATCCCCCAGCTCTCACCTGCAGTGGCGGCGGTGTCACGAGAGGTTCCTCTGCGCCGTTAATTCCTTTTGAAACACCTTCACCCGCCTCAACAGCCTTTTGCCCTACTCAATGTGGAGCTTTGCCAAGCTTTTCTTTCCTAGGTAGGGTTCGACTCTGCCCGCCTGCTTTTGAGACTAAAGGTCAGCTCAGCCTGCCTTTGTTTTAGGAGAATCAAGAAAGACAGGAGGAGAGCAGGATGTGTAGGAGGATGTAGGTGAATTATCTGTTTAGGGTTCGGATTTCTGAGCCCCAAATTAGGGGCTGCGCAGCCTTCTTAACTCTTAACAGTGAAGGTCCCTGAGCTATGGGGCGCACGCAGGTAGGCACTGGCACTCAAAGATCCTGTCCCACAGGTGGACACAGGTGGTCCCAGGACTCCCAGCGGTCCCGCCGAGGATGGCTATCGAGGCCGGCGGCTGGGGCTGAAAGAATTTCCTGCGTTCTGGGGATCGCTCGGGATCCACTTTTGCTGGGGCTCGGACCTGGAGCCGTTCATCTTCCTCTGCTCTGTCAGGGTGAGTACTGCGGTCCGGCTCTCTCAGACTCTGCACAAAAGTTTTCTCCTCCTCTAAGTTTCCCATACGGGGGCGGAGACCGACGACGCACCTCCCGTCTAGCTATTGGTCTGATTGGGAGCGGGGGGTGGGGGGTGGGGAGAAGGAGGGTCAGTTCCCCCACCTCCGCAGCCAGACACTAGGTTCCCCTTGCTGTTAAGGGTAAAAAGAAGCTGGGAGTGGGAGTGGGGGGCGGGTCGCTAGGGCTTCTGTAGGCGGAGCTCTGTGCTGGGCAGGAACCTGACTTGGTCTCCCGCCTGCCTCCTCTCCGCTGTTATCAGCAGACAGCCCTCGTACGCACAGGGTGGCAGCTTCCTGTACCTTGGCCGCCCGTTGGAAGGAAGGTAGCTTGCACAGCCAGCAGCCGAATCACCATCCACTTGTGGCCGCCCTCTTGGCCCGAGGATGCACAGCCCGAGGGAAGCTGGGGAAGCTCCTTTCTCTCTCCCACTCTGAGCACCTTCTTTGCCTGTTTCCTCCCTCCTCTTTCCCCAGTCGGGGCGGGGCATAGAGAAGCATCTCTGGTAGATACCTCCTAATTCTCCTATATACTTAGTAGGCTATCTCCCAAATCTTCTTTCCCCAGAATGGGAAAGGAAGGCAACCTTTAGGAATAAGTTTGTCTTCTCGTAGCCTCAAGGAGTGCGAATTAGGATAGCATGGGAAGGTGTGCCCGGGAGGCGGTGGGTGCCGGGATGGTGATGGGAGGGTGCATTGTTATCCTTACGCCATAAAAGGAGCTGAAGATGCCCAGAAGAAGGAGCGGCGGTCTTGAACGCAGCAGGATGAAAAAGGGCTCAGTAGACCGGCATCCAGGACCAAACTGACCTCGTGGATGCGAAGATCTTTCTCCCCTGGCTTGTTTTCTCCGAAGTGTAGTAGTGTTTAACAGCAGGGTTGGTTTCTCCTGCTCAGACTCTGGGATTTCCCCACCCAGAAGTGAAACAGAATGACAACGTGTGACTGGATTTGGGTCACTAAACCTAAGATTAGTGATCTTCATACCACCTATTTCTTAGAAAGATTGGTTAGTTGCGGGTGTGGGAAGGGATAACTTCATTTAAATATAGCCCACCTCTGCTAGTTTCTGGGGCTAAATGTTCAAAGCTCTCTGCTCCCCTTACTATACCCTTCGAGTTTTAGTTTCTTTTTTCGTTCATTTGGCTTTTCGAAGAAGGCACGGAGAAAACACTCTTTTGTTGTGTACTTATGACTCTTTCCCCAACCCCATGTCTGAAAATGAAACTGTAATTTTTGAGTCCTAGTCACAAAAAAAGGCTGAGGCGGGGGAGGGGAACTTGCCCACTTAACTCTCCTGTAAATCACCCTTTCCATAAAGTCTTTTCTTAGTTCCTGTATTTTGTAACCATTTCTGGTCCTCTAGTCTATTTACAGCTAGCTAACTCCAGAGGATACTCCTAAAGGTAGGGAATGGTCAAGAAAGAAATCAAATATGGTGATTGTAAGATCATAGGTCTAAAATTGGGAGAGACTTCAGAGGTGGCCTTGTCTAATCCTCTTATTTTCTAGATTAGGAAACTCTTCCAGAGAGTTTAAGTGACTTGCCCAAAATCACTCCGGGAGTAATTAACAGGGGTGGAATTTGAACCTAGGTTATTTGACTCAGAAGGAGTGCTCTTCCTCTCTAGTAACTAATGAAAGACTTGGGCTGCTATATAGCCTTTTGAATTGAATTTATCCGTATAGTCTGATTTTTCACGAAAAGGAGTTACCAATAAACATTTTAAAGATATAAATGTGGCATAATGATTATTTAATGCCACATAAAAGTTAGCACTCTAGGTTGGAAAGTGTCTGTTTGTTCAACTATATATAAATTAATGTCAGTGGCTCAATTTCTCATGGTTCCAAGACAACTTCATCTGTATTTATCTGTGAATTTGACCAATCTTTTAAAAGTCAGAATTACAGAAGAATCAGCAATAAATTAGGAATTGCCCACTCTACTTCCTGATAATCTCATTACATCATTATTACTAATCATATTTTCCTTATGCTGATGGCAGTGTTCGGTAAAACCTTATAGTGGAAGTAGGAAATACTATGGTCATTATTTTGTGGATTATATATAAAGTTTCTTTGTCTCATAATTTCCATCCCAGAAAATAGCTAGAGAAAATAATGATCCACTAGATGATATTGAAACTCAGTGTTCATTTTAGATATTGGATGATAGATTAGAATGAAGAAACCGAGTTAAAAGCAATTAAAATAGTGGATTCCAGGCTGCTTAGAAGAGCACAGATGTAGCTGGAACAAACACTTTAGATGGTACTTCCTACACCAGATATTTTTTAGAGGCAATGATTTTGAAAGAAAGTGAACTAAACTAAAGCTCCATCGAGCAAGTGTGTAATGAAATTAATCATTACCCACAGTCATAAAGCAGAAGTTTAGATTGATAAAAACAACCATTTTGCTAATTTAATCTTCAGTCACAATTTTACAGTTTATTTTATCTAGATGGTGAAAAAGATAGGTGGCAGCTAGGTGGTGCAGTGGATAGAGTGTTGAACCTGGAGTCAGGAGACCTAAGTACAAATCCTGCCTCAGATACTTGCTATCAGTGTCGCTCTGGGCAAATCATGACCTCTCTGAGCCTCAGTTTCCTCATCTGTAAAATGAAGATAATACTAGCTCCTGCCTCCCAAAGTTGTTTTGCAGATGAATGAGATAACATTTGTAAATCATATAAATGTTAGCTATTGTAATTCAAGACAATTATTCAAGGAGGTGGTTTTGTTTTTGTTTTTTTTTCAACATTCTGAAAGCAAGGGCAGTGGAATTTTCTTTGGTTATCAGAGTGATTTGTGTGTATTCCACAAGGAAAAAAAATATAGATTGGCAAAGGCAATTTTATGTGTGTGTATGAGTGTGTGTGTGTGTGTGTGTGTGTGTATGAAAAATATATACTAGGAATTAAATTGGGGAGTGATTATTTGGATGATAGTTTTGAATCTCAATCATTTGAAATATCTAGTTAACTTTGATTTGTGCATGTGATTTTTTTCTTCCTTGAAGTCTCTATTACTGCTTCACATTTTTCTTTCTCTTTGCCAAGTGTTGATGCAGCTGCAGATTTTTAGTGCTCCAGCAGAGTATGGAGCACTGCCTGAAGTCAATATTCCATTATCAGGAGGAAAATGACTGTAGGGGGATATAAGTAGGAAAGTTCTCTTAATTAGCAGCAGGACCATACTTCCTTGGCAGTGCCAGTTGGGGAAGCTTAAGTATTATGCCAAAGGATCAGTCTATTTGATGTCTCAGTTAGTTGGCCCTTTTATTACTCTAGGGTAAACAGAGAAAGGGAAGAATTATTTTATCTTTTTGCCTGCTAGCAAAGGCTGCCTATCTCTATAGATGTGCTCAATTCCAACTTCCTGGTTCCATCCTCTCTAGGGGCCAAAGGAGAAAAAGTAGGGAGAAAAGGGATTTTTTTTTTTTCCCCAAAGAGGGGAGGAATCTGGAAAGAGCCAAAGCAAGGAGGAGAAGGGGAGGGGCGAAGAGGAGAAAAGAAGCATGTTAAGGAATAAGATAAATGAGCCCTAGGAAAAGACTTGGTGAAATGAATTACTAGGTCAGGATCCTCCAGTTAACCTAAGGTTGGTAACTTCCAGAACATTCCTGCTAAGACCAGAGTGCTAATCATTTTTGTATTAAAGTCTATCCAAATTGTGTCTGTTCTCACTTTTTCTTTGTAGGCCATGTCTACAATCACAACAGTAAGGAAAAGACTTTTGGGGTAGATAACATAGTGCTTGGATACATGCCTCTCTTACACTTGACCAGTTTGATCAGTGAGTTAGATATAGCTTGATAGTAAGGAAAACTAGCGGGAACAGGAGGAAGAGAGTATTTGTGGTTATGGTCCTGATCTCTTCTCTGTCTGTCTGTCTGTCTGTCTCTCTCTCTTTCTTTCCCCCTTCCCCCCTTGATATGTGTCAAATCTGTTGCTCTGAATTGTTTTCATTTTCCAGGTCTTCTTTTTTATGCAGAGTCTAGGGGAAAATATAACACATACTAGCACAGTTATTTTGGACTCATATGTCTTTGAAAATAATTGATGACTCCTTATCGCTTCCAGTTTGAAATACAAAATCCTTGTCTTGTCATTTAAAGCCTTCAATAATCTGGCTCCTACCAACCTTCCCAGTCTTATTTCATATTAAGCTCTTTTATGTATTGTTTCAGTCAAATGGTCCTACTAGCTGTTGCTCACAAGTTACATTAAATCCCCTTTCTCTGTGCCTTTGCCTAAATGATTCCGCCTCTCTAGAACAAACTCCCCTATACCTCACCAAGTAGAAACCCTAGTTACTTCAAAATACAGCTCCTGCATCACTTTCCCCCTCACCTTTCTAGTCCTACATCCTGGTAACTAGTCAGAAATTATTTTGTTCTGTTTGTGTGTTTTTTGTATATACTCATTTGTGTATGTGTTATTACCCTTCTTAGGAGAGTATAAGTTCCCTGAGGCTGGACACAGGGCCTCTGTGGTAGCCTCTTAATGTTTGCCAAATTAAATTTGAATAATAGTTACCATGAAGTCTTCTGTAGTGTTATCCCAGAAAGTGGTGTTTTCCCAAAAATGATTGATTTTTATTAAGGAAATGGGCAATACATAGGAGTCACTTGTTTGGTTTGATATCTTTGGGAAGAAACAGTTTCAGGAGATGTCCTACAGGCTGAGAATCGCTTGGTCTGGACATCTGCTCTGTAGGAGTGAGGACTTTCCAACAGTCTTTCTGTTTAGGCTTCCTTTTTGTTCTTGAACAGTTCTCCTCACAGCTACTTCTTTTTTAAAATAATATTTTACTTTTTCCAATTACATGTAAAAACAATTTTTAGCATTCATTTTTTAATAAGATTTTGAGTCACAAATTTTCTCCCTTCCTCCCTCCCCCAAGATGCTAAGCATTTTGACATAGGTTATATATGTGCAACCATGTAAAA